GCTGATCATGCGTGGACCCAAAGTTAACTTTAAGGGCTCCAGTGGAGACCTTGTCACAGACGAAGTGGTAATCGACTTCGACATGCTTAGTCCTTGCATAGAACACTGGGTTCGAACAGAGATAGGTTGCCCCAAGGTTGTTGCACCAGAGGACTGGCGTGGTGGTACAATGCAAGCCAAGGTCAAGAAGAAGAGGTTGAACCCAAACGACCTTTGTAGAAACATCGACAAGTGCTTTATACTCAACTTCGGTTGAGGAACGGGCCACAGTCCGTTGCTTCTTGGAGGACCACGAGATCAGATTGGGACCTAAAAACACTGCATAGCCAGCAATAGACTTTCGGTCAAAAGAGCAGTCGGCCCAATCAGAGTCAGAGAAGACATGGACAACTAGTGATGACGAAGTTGTTAGGCGAAGGCCTAGGTGAAGAGTACCCTTGATATACCGCAAGACACGTTTTAGTGCAGCCCAATTGTCTTGCGTCGGGTTATGCATGAATTGGCATAGCCGGTTGACAGCAAAGAACAAGTCCGGACGAGTCATAAGCAAGTACATTAGTGAGCCAACTAGTTGACGACAAACCGTGGGATGATCTAAAGGCGGTGAGTCTTCAGAAGTGTTTGCCGTTTTAGACGCCATTGGCGTGGCAAGCGGTTTGCATGAGTCCATTCTTTCTTTGCGGAGTAGTTCAGTCATGTAACGCTGTTCAGTCAAAACTACGGCATCGATAGTGTAGACAGCTTTAACGCCGAGAAAGAAGCGGGGCTTCCCAAGATCGTGGATTTTGAAAATTGAAGCAAGTTGAGTCAGCATAGACTGCACCTGTGTGGCATCATTCCCCAGTATAAGTATGTCATCGACATACACGAGAACATAGACGCGGACCTGCCCAGCATTGTCAATAAGCACGAATACGTCCGTTTTTTACGGACGAAACCCAACATGAACCAAAAAATTCTGAAGTCTCGTGAACCAAGCGCGAGGGGCCTGTTTGAGGCCATTTAACAATCACTAAAGCTTGCAGACGTGGTTGGGATAGACAAGATTGACATAGCCTAGGGGTTGCCGCATTTTGATGTCTTCCAAAATGTGTCCATTTAGGAACGCATTATGGACATCCAGTTGCCTCATGCTCAACTTGTTAGAGATGTCATAGGCTAATAAGAGACGGATTGTAGCCGGTTTGACCACAGGGCTATATATCTCAAGGTAGTCGATGCCTGGAATCTGGTTGAACCCTTTGGCAACCAGACGGGCTTTGTACCGGTCGATGGAGCCATCCGACTTCCGCTTAATACGATATACCCATTTACTACCTATTACATTCATTGTATTTACAAATGGAACTAATGACCAAGTATTGTTTTGAAGGAGGGCATTGAACTCAGCGTCCATAGCATTTCGCCACTGCGGACACTTCGCGGCCTGAGAATGACACGTTGGCTCATCGTCGTCGACGGAAGCGACCAAGGCACGGGGTGGCCGTCGTTGTTGATGGGTAGTCGTGCATAGCTACATGCCATGAGTCCGTGTCGGGGAGCATTTCCTCTATGTTCTCGTTGTTGCAGTCGAAGAGGTGGATGGCTGAAACGAGGAGGATTCGTTTCCAACAGTAGACGAAGATTGCATGGGGTGCATGGTGACAACGCCACTCTTTGTTGCCATAATCGGTGGTCTTTGAGGCGCCACAAATGGTGGGATGGGAGCACCGGAGGTGGCTGGTTGATGGATTTGGGCGCTCGCCCAAGGCAGTGTATTGGCACCGGCGGAATAGCTTACGACCAAGGATCACCGGCATCTTGAAACAGGAAAACATCCTCGTTGAGTTTGACATGCCGGGCAATGTATATTCTTCCAGTAGCCCTGTCCAATCACCTGTAACCACTAAAAGACTCGGTGTAACCCAAGAATACACAAGAAACCGACCTATACTCCATCTTATGGTTGTTATAAGGCTTTAGATACGGGAAACACTCACACCCAAATACACGTAACATTTTGTAATTTGTTAACTTATGAAAAAGACGGGAATATGGACTGTTATTTTATAAGACTGTGGTCGGCATTCAATTGATTAGATAAACTACCGCCTCGAAGACGAAAGACCAATATTTTTTTGGAGCATGACTATGAGCTAACAAAGTCAAGCTCGTTTCCACAACATGGCGATGCCTTCGTTCAACTACGCCATTTTGTTCATGTGTGTGCGAGCATGACTGTCTATGCAAAATGCCTGTAGCAGTGAATCCAGAATGTAAGTTTTGATATTCTCCGCCCAGGTCTGACTGAATGCTTTTAATAGAAGTGGAAAAGTATTTTTCAACAAATGTACGAAATCGAGTAAAGATGGAATAAATATCTGTTTTGTTTTCCATTGGATAGTACCAAATGTACCTCGAGTAATCGTCAACAAATATGATGAAATATTTAAAGTCATCAACAGAGGTGACCGAGGAAGGTCCACAGATGTCGGTATAAATTAAATCAAGGACATATTGGTTAGAATGCTTTATTTGTGACAATGGGAAGCGTGTAGACTTGCCCATTTGACACGAAGTACAGACATTATTATTTGAACGCAACAAACCACTGACTGGACACCTAGACAAAACCTGACTGAGAACCCGGGAGTGTGGGTGACCGATGCGTTTATGCCAGACTTGCGGGGATGCTTTATCAGATAGTAGGGCAATCGGAGCTGGGGCACTGAGCGAGTACATCCCTCCTATGTTGGGACCTTTAAGAAGTGTTTGGTTGGTGACACAATCCTTCACAAGAAAATGAGACGGATGAAATTCGAAATAAACGTTATTGTCTTTGTGTAAACTTATGCACAGACAATAAGTTAGCTTTTAATCTAGGAACATGTAGTATTTTATTAAGTGACAGTGACTGAAACGGGGTAGAAATTGACACGGAACCTGTACGAAGGATAAACAAACCTGAGCCATCCCCGACTCTCAGACTTTTGTTGCCCGTATAAGGCTCGGTGTAATGTAAGACTGCGGCATTCCGCGTAGCATGGGCGTTGGCCCTCGTGTGTGGGAGCCAAACATTAGAAACTGGTGCGGTGTTGAAATCGTCCTGTGGCTAGTGATACGCGACATTAGCATGGGCCGCGGGCACACGATTTGCAGGCTGCGACGATGGACGCTGACCGGAAACGTCCCTATAGCGTTGGTAGCATGTTAATGGCGTGCTTCTGGGAATGTCACAAATTTGACACCGGACTCATCCACGACCCCGTTTCCCTCTACCTCGTTGCCCTTTGTGATTCCGGCCTCGACCTTGAGCGCCGTGGGGAGGGCGGTACGCCGGTGGCTATTGAGCCGCTAGAGCAGTCGGCGTGGGGGGCATCGAAGACACTGCCTCGTCCGAAAATAAGTAGTGGTGTGTAGAAAGAAGATCGGCGACCTCCGGTATTGTTAAGGGAGTAGTCTTTGTGGTCAATGAAGCGACAAGAACACGGTATTCTGGTCGCAGACCTCTGAACACATGCAGATTTTGCTCGTCAAGACTGATTGGCCGACCGGCTTGTGTAAGCTGTTCAACGAGCACTTGTGCGCGACCAAGGTATTCAGATGGAGTGGAATCACCCTGGCGGAGATTATGAAGCTGTGATAGGAGGCTCACCGACCTTGCTCGCGAAGAAGACCCGAGCGCGATTTCTAGCTCAGCAAGGTAGAGAATCTTGATAGCGCCATCCATACCGAACGTGAGGTAGTATGATCAATTGCAAGGTAGAGAATCTCCTCAGCAAGGGAAGAGATCATCATGCTCAGAGTGGATTAATCCCGCTGAATCCATTGAGCAAGACAAGGATTGGCTGTCGGAGGCGCATCGGAGGTGGACGTAGCAATAAACTCCCGCGGGCATACGGTGGTGCCATCGACGAAACCATACAGGTTTTGGCCACGTAGAAAAGGAAATAGCTGCGCTCTCCAAAACAAATAGTTTGTGACAGTCAGCTTTATGGACACATAGTGGTGAGCTTGATGAAGCATATTGGGGGAGGGTAGAGTTTGGGTAGTTGTATCCGGTGGGGTGACGGTGGCCCGATCAGAGGAAGCCACCGGTGCGTCATTAGCGACGGGTGGGGAAGGGTTGTTCTGATTGTTGGCCATAGGATCAGAGAAGCTAGACTGATACCATATTGAGGAAATAAATTTACGTAAATGTTTATACTGAAGAACATACACAGTGTTTATAATAACATGACATGCAATAAAATTCCGTAGATCACTGAATCTGGCAGTTTGGTCCGGGGTGTCGGTCATCCAATCCTCCTGTTCTTTGATTCTTGTTAATACATTAATCACCTTTAATTTATTTTGAAAATAAAATACATGACATATGCGGATCTAAAAATAACACTTAAATTTATACTCAATGAGTTCGTATGCTATTGGTGAAGTAAGCCCTAACAATGATGCATCCTTTAAAATGCTTGAAAAAAATTAAAAAATGGCGGAAATTATGGAATTTCCGACCACCTAAAACTGATCTTAAATCAAGTTGAAAGTAAAAAGTGGTCGAAAATAGCAATAAAGGGTTTTCCAGATACTAAAAGTGGTCGGAACAAGGCTTTCGACTTAATTTAATATCACTTTCAGGTGGTCGGAAATTCCTTAATTTCCAGAAGTGGTATTTTATTTTATTTTTTGAAATCCTAGTATTTTTAATTAGAACTTTAAAATGATGAAATTCTATTGAATTATTGAAAATATAGGTATCCCATCTCAAGTGTAATGTAGATTGGGTGGGTTACTTCAATTCTTTTTTCATCTTGTCTAGAAAAATAGTTTTAAGTTATAAAAATGTGCGGTGCGGTTCATGAAAATATATATCAAAATTTGAATTGAAGATAATACTATGTATTAATTAGCTTGTAGATTAATGACACGTGACTCTCTGAAATGGGAGATTACAAGTTGGAATAGTTAACTCAATTATATATAGAACTCAAAAGATTTACCAATGCAATTAAGGTTCACTGTACTTATCATGAACGGAATATAATAATTTATTGAATCAAATGGAGTGCACATACATGTATAGAGAAGAACGTCAATGATGTTGACAACGTAACATTAAAAAGGGCAAATTAAGGTTTGTTGATGGATGATGGGAGAAATGAAGATCACATGGTTTGACCGGGGAGAAAATCGATCTCCTCCAACACTTTGGAACATCGCTCATCGGCCAAGTCTTTCATGAAGAAGAGTGGGTTAGCATGGCGGATGTCGCTCTTCATTCCGACGTTGGCAGTGCAAACAACTATGGCTTTCTCCAACCCCTTCACTGTCTCCTTGCAATCCTCTCTTGGGCTCTTCACCACTGTCACCACGCACATGTCCCTCTCGTGATCTCCGTCCACCGTCAAGTTGTAATTCCCGTCCGCCCCCGTCGCCCCCTCCATGCTGTATGTCAATGTCTTGTTATCCAAGTTTCTGCACTCCAATCGCACCGCTGCATCTGTACTCCAAACTCTACTCGTTAGTTTATTGCACAAAAACAGAGTTTAATTTTCTGGCCTCGAAGGAGTGACTACGGGTTTTATGTCTAAGTAGAATGACTGAATTAATGAGTCTTTTTGTTTGGTAGTAAACATGGATAAATTTATCTGTGCACACATTGAAAGAGTGACTACAGCTCCTCATCACTAATAATGAATTTGTTGCCCTGCATGGCTAACTCAATTGGTTCTACCGATTACCCCAAAAGCCTTGTTCCAGCAATGATGTGGAGGTTCAAATCTCACTGAAAACCTAGGGTTAATAGGAGATTGACCAATTGGCGATAAAGGACTCTTTGTGCAAAGAGTGTACAGACAAGAGGTGAGAACATAAGGTCGGCTCTTGGGGCATCCCACTAAAAACCTAGGGATCATTAAGAGACTTGACTGATCACTCAATCAGAGGTGATTAAGACCCATTGTACGCAGAGTGTACAGAAAGGGGTGGGAACCCAACCAAAGGTTTTATGCGCAGAGTGTACAATAAGTGGTTGGAACTTCGAGTCCTCCCGTGACTAATGGGTAAGGAGTTAGCAGCTTAGAATTTATCCAGCATAAGTTGAGAAACCTAATTTATGAAAGAAATCATAATGAATTTGTGTTACCTTTTATGCTCTGGCTAATTCTGGTCTCGAATTGAACACGGCAGGTGTCGCAGTAGACTTTGCCCACAACGTTGAATTTCTCAGGAGCGCAGTGGGCAATGCCGGCAAGGGCCAAAATGCAAAATGCAGAGATGAGTGCAACAGCCCTTGCCATTTTTGTATGGAGCTAATTTTATTTTATGTGATTCTTAATTACTGCACTTCTCTATCTTGATAAGCTCCACGATTTGTTAATGAGGGATTTGTGCCCATTTTATAGTGTTAGAGAGCCATGAAGCTAACGGTTGTGAGTAAATTTTGGTTGGCTCCTTATTTTTGAAAGGTTTAGAGGAAAAGATCTATTCAATTCCTGTATTTTGTTAAAGACTTAGAACAAAATGATTGCTTCTTTCTCTCCTCCATTCTTTCGTAACATTAAAAAAAAACGATTAAAAATAAGATTATAAAATTAAGGGAAAATTGTATTTTTCGTCCCTAAGTTATAGGGTAATTGTAAAATTCGTCCATGAGTGTTGGTCATGCTCAATTTTTGTCCCTAAGTTATCATTGGTGTTGCACTTTTCGTCCCTGAGTTATAGAGTAATTGTAGAATTTGTCCCCGAGTGTTGTTTATGCTCACTTTGCGTCCCTAAGTTATCATTTGCGTTGCACTTTTCGTCCCTGAGTTATACTAAAATTGCAATTTTCGTCCCTAATCACTACTACATAAATGGTATACTACGTCACTTAATAGACGGATGTTTTTTAAATAACCACCATCTTATATATTTTGTTATACTACGTCATTTAATAGACAACGAGTTTTTAAATAACCGTCGTATATAACTTAATTAATTTTTTTTTTATGTCATACACTTTAAATAACCACCGGCGATTTTTGTACACATACATGACAGTTTTCGAAGTGTCGCGTGTGTAAGTGACTGCCGTTGTAAATATACACTTTCTACAACGGTTTTGGAAATCGTTGTGTATGTTAACTATATACGGTGGTTAAAAAACTGCCGTGTATGTCAACTATATAGGTAGTTATTTAAACAACCGTCGTCTATTAAGTGATGTAGTATAAGTGTATAACACAATATATTAGACAACGGTTATTTAAAAAGTGACGTAGTATAACATTTATGTAGTAGTGATTATGGGCAAAATTTGCAATTTTAGTATAACTCAGGGACGAAAAGTGCAACGTCAATGATAACTTAGGGACGAAAAGTGAACATGACCAACACTTAGGGACGAATCCTACAATTACCTTATAACTCAGGGCCGAAAAGTGCAACGCCAATGATAACTTAGGGACAAAAAATGAGCATGACCAACATTTAGGGACGAATTCTATAATTATCCTATAACTTAGGGTTGAAAAGTGCAATTTTCCCTAAAATTAAACTTTTGACACAAGTGGGTATAAATATTAGTTTGATTGGTCAAATTTCTTGAGTATGTTGAAAATGCAAATTTATTTTCCGTTTATCTACATCTAAAAAAAAAATCTTTTTTTTTTTTTTTTTTTTTTTTGAAAGCTACTGGCTCTATTACATTGTAGTATCTGTCCTCCACTAAGGCTTGAACTCATAATCTTCCAAATGGACCCGGGTACCATTAGACCACATAGTCCAAATTTCACTTTTTAAAAAAATTTAAAAAGTCCTTTCAATTTTAAAAAAAAAAAAAAAAAAAGTGTAATAACATGGGCAAGCAAGCATGACAAATAGTTTTAACATATATCAAATTATATTGTACACGACCATAATCCACATTATAATATGGATCACTCATAAATGCTCATTTTTAATATACTAAAAGTTCATTTTTAATTGTATTGAAGGTTCATTGAAAGTATACTAAAAATTAGTATTCAAAAAATAACATTATATTAGTGTCCATCTTGTAAGATTGACCATGTTTCATAGTATAATTATTGTTATTTCCTTCTTGGTTCATTTATGGATGAATTTCATTTTTAAAATGTTAACAAGTAACATTTTTGTGAGGAAATCGGTGTTTGAATAAATTATTTTTTGTCACTATTAAATAAATTCAACACCGGAACATGATTTGAAACAAAAATCTTAAATTTTTCGGGTACATTGCGTACCAAGTTTTGAACTGAAAAGTCATTCTAAGTGAAATCGGGAGAAATTTGAGAAGTCTAAATCAAGTGTTTATCTAGAAACCATTTTTGAGAAATTCATTTTCAACCCCAAAACTATTTTAAACCTTGATTCTAGACCATAGTCCATGAAGCATGGTGAACCACACTACTCCAAAATTTTTTCCTGATACTTCTTTTAGCCAAGGCTTTTACCATATTACCCTCCACCAATCATTGTGGATTCTCCTAGGGTTTTGTGCCACTATATATTGAACCATCTCCATACTTTTGCCTCACGATTCCCAACCTTGTCTTCCCCAAAAGTTCTGTAAGAAAAACCAAAGGAATTCATAGTAAGTTTCATCTAAGCTTAGCCTTCCATTCCTTCTCTGCATTTCCTTCCTAGCTTCCATCTCTGAGGACTTAGTCTTAAGGTTGTTGTATTGCTTTGTTTGAGATGTTTAGGAGGTGAAGGTGGGAGTAGCTAGCTTGGGAAGAAGGTGGAATCCCTACTCAAAGGAGGAATCTACAAAGGTATAACCCCATGGACTCTCAAAGCTTATTTTAGACTCTGTGAAGTCTTGTTTTAGTGTTTGAAATGAGTAGAAATGCTAGAATAATGTTGTGTTTGAGCTAGTAAGTGATCTATTGTTGATCTATGATGTGTTGTTGATGATTTGGGAGTGTTTGGTTGCCTAAAATGTCATTATAGGTGAAAAAGAATCTCACTGGTGCACAAAACAGTGTGCACCAGATGAGATACGGGCCTAGCCAACGGCCCTAGGAAGGAGCCGTTGGCAAGCCCCGTGTAGGAGCGGCCCTCGGGCACGGCTCCAGGCTAGAGCCGTGGCCCTAGGCCGCCGCTTGGCGGTTCCAGGCGGCGGGGCTCCTCAAGCCCCGTTGGGCAAAACCTGTGCAGTGGCCGGACCCTTGTGGATCAGCTACGTGTCGTTTCGGATCGGGACTTGCGGGACCTTGAGGCTCGGACACTCGGGATCGTCACGACTCACGACTAGAATTTGATTTCATTGAATTCGGAGTAGAATTGAGTAATTTGCAAGAGAATTTGTGAAGCTTTATGCTACAGATCTGGAAGCATTTACAGTGAATGAAAATGTTAAGTGTCGGCTCTTGGCTATTTGTTTGAGAAGCATGACAATTATATGATTATTAGATAATGAAATATGATCAATATTTATTAAGTTTTGCTAGAAAAGCATGCCTAGATGTCTATTATGACTTGTTGAGAATTTTGCCAAGAATATTAAGTTTACAGAGCATAATTACAGTAAATGAAATTATGTTGAGTATTTTGAGTTCAAGTGCATGTCGAATACTTGCTAAGTGTTTGCCAATGAAGATTTGCTAAATTATGATTTATAAGCATGTTTAGACAATTGTTGAGAGTTTACAGTGAATTAAGTTTTGAAGCATATTTTACAATAAAGTGTATATTTGAGCATACCATGTTTTAAAAGTGCACAAGTGGCCAGTGTGAGCCTAAGTACTATTTTCAAAAACTCATATCTATTTTGGAAAATTATTATCTAGTTGCATCGAGTGGTTGCATGTTAAATGATCTCCAATTTGTGAGAAAAGAGAAGTTGTTGAGAAGTTATGTGCATAAGTTTGCATAAGTAAAGCATTGCATGAGTTGAAATGTATGAGCTATATCTATATGTATTTAGTGTGAGTTATCCGAGGTTTGGAGGCCCGTTAGGACTATGTCCTTTCAGAAGAAAGAGATAAAATCGGATATATAGAACCGACAAAACAGTGAAAAGAGAAAATAAAGAAAGAAACGGACATTGCGATCTGATGTGAAGTAACGAGGTCGATATTCCCGAGTTACTAGGTTGGAAACTGCCCGCCAGGCTTGGAATCCTGGTCAGGGGGTGTGCACACTGATAGTTCGATACTTGATTCCATAGAGTTTGAGAAAAGAACCAATAGAGTGGTTCTGTGGGCGAGATGAGTATTAGGGCGGCTAGATGCCGAGCCCAGATAGGTCCATTCACATTATGGTGAAGTCCTACCTCGCCCACGAGTATAAGAAAGCGAGTCATTGCGACTCTAAAGAAAGCGAGTCATTGCGACTCTAAAGAAAGCGAGTCATTGAGACTCTAGAAAAGAAGACAAAAGCGAGTCATTGTGACTCTAAGAAACCTCGACAGAAAAAAGTAATCTTTTTACAAAAGAGTGTATATGTATATCTATTTATACTTATACTAAAGCATCATGTTCATTTTATTGCATGATCAAGTTGATTGCACGAGATTGCTTATTGAGTATATGATTGCACGTGATTGCATGTTGAGTATATGATTGCACGTGATTGCATGTTGAGTATATGATTGCACGTGATTGCATGTTGAGTATATGATTGCACGAGATTGCATGTTGAGTATATGATAGCATGAGATTGCATAGAGATTATATGATTGCACGAGATTGCATGTTGAGTATATGAAATTGTACGATATTTCATGTTGAGTATATGATATCATCAGATTGCTTAGAGATTATATGATTGCACGAGATTGCATGTTGAGTATATGATAGTATGAGATTGGTTAGAGATTATATGATTGCATGAGATTGCATTTTGAGTATATGATAGCATGAGATTGCTTAGAGATTATATGATTGCACGAGATTGCATGTTGAGCGTACGATAGCATGAGATTGCTTGAGATTAAATGACTGCATGAGATTGCATAGTTGAGCATATGATAGCACGAGATTTCTTATTGAGTTATGTGTTAGCATGAGATTGCTTACTGAGATATTTGATGATATGAGATTATGCGATAAGATAAGTATATGATAGTATGAGCTTGTTGATAAACTAAATAATTGTGAAAGTATGCCTATTTGATAATTAGGTTGCAAGCATATAGAAACCCTGTTGAGCATGTTTAAATGTTGCCTAAGTGATTGAGAATACTTGATCTAAGTATGTGAAACAAATGTTTTCCAAAAGTATATATTGTAGTACTTTACAGGGTTGAGTGGCGTTATACTTAGCTTCGTGCTAACGGGTTTGTTTTCTACTTGTTGTTTGTTAACCCCTTTCAGGTGGGCCTAGTTCGTAAGAGAGAGTACGAGTTAAACTAGACT